AGAGAGAGAGAGAGAGAGAGAGAGAGATACACATGGAAGTATATGTGTGTGTGCTTTTCTTATGATCTGATATTACTTTCTTCTTTTATCAGATATTCAGAGAATTCCAACTTCTTACAAGAACAGATATTTATAAGAAAACAAGGCACATTTTGGAATCCTATTCAGAAAAAATACTGACTGCTTTTTCAGTTGTGGACAATCCAATCAACATTGCATTGCAAGAAAAAATGAAAGAGTACACAGATGAAGATATGTTGAAGTGTTAGTAAACCTGGGGTGGGGTGAGCCGGTCTCTGTTATCTGTGTAATACAGGATAATTAGGAAAGCTCTGCTTTGGTAATAAGTACAATTCAATGAAACATTGATGTGGGGGAAAAAACAATTTTTCAAATGGGGAAAAATGGAGGTATGGATTTAAAAAGTACACTCAATACTGTGAAATTACGTTGGGGGAACTAGTAACCTGTTAGTTTTATTATACAAATCACAAATTCTACAAGCTTATCCGGAAAGCTGCAGGATGTAGAATTTGTCTCTCCTGGCAGTTACCTGGAAAGCAAACCATGAGGTCTCCAGGTTTATTACATGTTGACTTAAATAAAAGTTGTGAAGCATTCCTCTAAGGCTAGCTTGTTCTCTGTGGAACCTAACTGTAAGAGTCCAGATGTTTTAACACCAGCTCTGTTTACAACTGTCGGAAACCTATTTTTACTCAGATACCAACATGTTTGCTCTGACAGATATGAAGATGACAGCCACATGTTTACTCCTCCCAGATGTTTTTGGGGATGATCCCAGCCTTTTTGCAGTTGTGAATGAGAAGGTACGTGTGTGAATGGCCACTGGTTTGCCATTCTACACCTCCATATGGCAATTTATTTAAAAGCACCACAGTGGTCCACTTGGAAGTCTGTTTTGTCATATTTGTAACAAGCTCATTCATTGTGATTTTATGGTTCAGTTCAGGCATGTTTGATTATTTAGCTACTTTATCCATCATGGGGTAGTGACTCTGTTTTTTTTTTTACAGGTTCAAGTGTCCACGCCTGTGTTGGAAGTTAAAAACCCTTTCAACATCGATGTCTGTGAGTTTTCTTTATATTTAGACAAAGAGAAGCTCACAAAGGTGGATGACTGTGTGACAGCCGTGGCGGCTCTAGTAGCTACCTTTCATGTATTTGGGATTGAGTGTCCAAGAAGACTGTCCCAAACCCTCAACTTCCTAGAGACACTGATCTTTGATACGCATAATTCCTGTTTCCCTTCTTTGAAAAAAAAGGAAAGGGAAGTAGGATTTCAGCCCCCAGTTACTTAACAGCTATTAAATATTGTATCAGAATTTATCTCTGGGACAAGATTTATAAAAAATTGTTTTGATTTAGGATTCTGGTAGAGGTAGTATTATAATATCATCTATAAAATCAAAGATATTAATGAATTTAAATGCCTTCAATCTTTACACTCAAACTTAAGTTCTTTGCAAAATTCTGTAATAAATACTCCTGAAGCAATTAACACATTCTTTCTTTCTTTTGATTTGTGTTTTTAAAATTTCCATGGTCAAAGCTTTACTTTCAAGGGTGCCCTCCTTAGTTTTAAAAAATGATACTCTGCACTTCAGGCAAACTCAAATCCTTCCAGTTAGGATATGGCCTTGCACATAATTTGATGTGCCCAATTTTCAACTGCACATTTATGGTCTGTGGGCAGCCTCCCTGTCTTTGGTCTAACTTGTAAACATCCTGAACTTGAACATTTTAAGGGGCACATACCTGTAGTTCTCTTACCCTGATGACTTGTCTGGTCCCAAGAAACTGGTTTCCTTCACTCACTTATTGAGAGCAAAGGTACCGTAATATTGAGGTCTCGCATTGCCAGCTGATCTTGCCGGCCAAGCTTCTGCTGGGTCCTGTGTCCACCTTTGACTGCTTCCTTCCCAAGGGAGTAGTGCTGCATGCCCACTCTCCACTGCCCAGAGTCCCACATGAGAACTCTGTTCCCAACAGTGGTGGCACAAGAACTCTTGCTTGGGTCTAAAAAGACTCAGTGTAGTCTTACATTTTTTTTTTAGAATATTACACAGGAAAAAGCTACAAAACTAGTTTGTTTGCAATTCTGCAGTACTACAGACTGAACCCAGGGGTTCTATACCACTGAGCTACATCCCCAGCTCTTTAAATTTTTTTTTTTAAATTTTCATAGAGGATATCATAAGTTGCATAGATTGGCCTTGAGTTTACACCCTCAGAGATAGAGTGCTGAGATTTCCATGGAATCTTGTACCACCCTAATGATGCATATGCCTTGCCTCTACCATACAATGGCACACTGTCTAGACTGGATGTGTTAAGTATGATTTAGAAATCTCATTACAACATACACTTTAAACTAGAAATGAAAAATTTCTGATGTGTATAAGTCCTACTTGACAAAACCATGTAATTTTAAATTTGTTGCTGTTGTTATTGTTCATCATATCTTGGGACATAGTTTGACAAACCATACTAAATCCTAATCCTAGAGATTTATTAGATAGATGCCCTTTTTCATGTCCTCCTTTTTGTGGTCTTGAGGACCAAACCTAGGGCCTCCTGTTGCCGGGCAAGCACTCAACCTCTGAGCTACCTCCCGGCCCCTACAGGGCTGTCTCAACAACCCTTACGCTTGATGTTGTCCCTGATCTTGTTCTACCTCTCCTGTGTGGCAAGCTTCCTTAAAAATCATACATGTATAAAAAAGTATCTGCAATTAAGACTTTATTTCATTTATATCAGGTATAACAAGTGCAACTTGAATGTACAGATTCTGAACAGAACATAAAAAAGGGGGGGGGGAACCAACAACGAAAACTTATTTATCAGATTCATGCAAAGAAATGAATGGGACACTACAGATGTCACTGACCCTCTTTTACCTTAAATCATGACAAATGCAAAGGACTGCTAACAGATCCCAACAGAGCACATTAAAGGAAGTTCTACATCAGGGAAAAAAAAAAAATGAGAGCAACTAAGGAAAGGGGTGGGACTTTCATCAGAATTCAGACAGCATGCTACAAACTTACTTTCTATTTTTAAAATAGTCCTTGAATAAATGTCTCATCCTGGAATTCAAAAGTACATCGAAAGACTGACAAAATAATTTACTTTTTTCCCTTAGAAATGCATTCTTACAAAAGAAACACTGCCAACTATCGGTTTATAGATAATCAAGGGTTTTCATTTAAAGTGCATCCGAATGCTCAGATAGTGAGGCAAAGTATTTTACAGAAAGGGGAACACTTCCAGAAGGGAGGTTCTTGAATGACTGCTTTGGGATTCACCTCCCTGACCTAAGAGCACAGACATTTGTGTCTGAGGGTGCGGCTCCCTCACTCCAGACCCGCAATATAAAACCTAGACACTTGTTCTTCAGCCAACCCTGAAGAAAGTCTTTGGGTTTGGAGGACACCTCAAGACTGGAGACAGCTCTTCATGGATTAGTGTTTCCACCAACAGAATGAGCCTTTCATTGCTGAAAAGCTACTTCAATGACAATTAGAGAAAAGCTCAAGATAATCTCATAAACAGTTCAAGAGCCCTACAAACAGCCCCCCACTGCAATGTAACCACACATTCCTCTGGTACCATCTGACTCTCGTAAACAACACAGGCACCACGATGTATGAGACTGATGCCACTCAGATATGCTACCTAATTTATTTATGTTTATATATTTTATTTTTCAATTCCATTCTTTTATATACATGTTTTTGGTAATTATAGTAAAGATGCTGGTGAAAAGTAATTTGTTTAAGATTTCACATAATGCGTGCAAAAGTAAAAACACTGATTTGAAGAAAAGTAATTTTTACAACTCTTCGGCCCCAACAAATGATGACAAGCAGTTAGGCAATACCATGACTTGCAAAGTTATACTTAGCATCATGTTGCAATTCAAAATATGGCACAAATGAACAATACAGGTAACAGTCCCACTGGCTAGACTCAGCCAGGTTTTGACTAATTTGGTATAAGTTGAAATTCAATTATATAAAAAGGTTTCTGAAAGTACTGAAAAAGAAAAAAGTGTACATGAAAGAGAATTCAACAATGTTTACAAAATGCCAAAGTTCTTACTCTGCCCCCCCTTACCATAAATAATTAATGAGGTCCCCCATTCCCCCACCCCCCAGCCTCAAAAAGATTTACAAAGATAAATTTAGCTCAGTGAACAGAACCAAAAGATGACTGTTGTTAGACAGTACTTGGTTAAAAGCTCAAGCACTTTCCTAAGAATTCATATATATTGTCTCTTGAGGAATATAAATATCAGATAGTGTTGCTCTTTTGAGTTTTCGAGACTTCTCGCTTAGGAGTTATATCCGTCCTTGTGCTTTGAATAAAACATGAGCTTTAAAGCAGAAAGCTGATGGTACTCAGAATCCACCATCTTCAAAGTTCATTGTGAGAATTCTTCTCTGCAGCTTTGAACATCAGAATAGAATTGAAAATTTTGAGAGCAGGGCCCAGCTTAATGCTCATGATTTTAACAATGTCCGTTTGAGTCATGAGTAGAAATGCTTCTCCATCAATTTGCTAAAATATGGGGAAGAAACAGAAGAATGTGAATTAGCCAGGAGTTGTGCTGTGGAAGTATCCAAGGTTAAGTTCTTGCTGGCCTCCACACAGGAGTTACACAGAGGCTTGGTGTGCAACTGCATTTCCCAATATTACCTAACCCAGACCACTCAAATGTGGCCTGGAAGCAGAGCCCACAGGAAAATGAAAGTGCCCATCCCTTCTTGTGATTCCCATGAGTTAGGTGCCTAGTCAAGAAGAACATAGGAAAATCTAGGGTGCCCCACACCTAGTTCAGCAGACTTTTAAATTAAAGATAATAAGCACACAATGTGGACATAAGCCAAGGAATTTGAGAAAGCATTCAGCTTACATGCTAACATTTTTTTTTT